TTGGCAATTGAATCGCCATTGGCTAGAGGGTCACCATCACATATTTGGATATCTCTCTTAGGCAGTGATGCAAGACATTGCTGATGCACCAGCACTGATGTTATCTCATTCTGTTTTCCCATTATAGACAACATGTGGTTCTGGTCACTGTTAATATTAGTGGAAAAGAGTTTATGTGCATCTCTATGATGAGACACAGTAGGTGCAGTAGCATTTGGAACTATGTTCTGTCTCATGAGCTCCGAGGGCCTCTGCTGGAGATGAATGGTATTGTCTGTCCTTTTCTGTTTTAGCCTTCCAAAATGTAAATCAGCATTTCCAGTTGCTGGTTTTCCCTTTTCATCCTTTCCAAGGTAAAGCCAACAACATCAATAGCCACAGCAATCACATTTAGCCTCGATATAACAACCAACGCACTGAATCCAACCACACACCCCACGACAGTCTACTCCAACCACAGTAAACCAACCCGATCAGCGGCAATCAACAGCAACACCAATCTTCAACAAGTGGCAGTAACCCGTAAACTGCGTTCAACAAACCATAACACAGTACAAAACACAGGTTACATACCACTGATTGTGTGCGATGTTATCGGGCGGCTGTCGCTCTCCAATAATCAAGCCGGGACTGCAAGTGTGATCTCCATGGCCGATGATTCCCTTTCTCCGTAAATGGCTACGGCCTTTAATGAGCGTGGCTTCCTTTCTTTTTGTCGTATGATCTTTGTTTTTTGCTGACAAATATTAGGCGACTATCTTAAGACCATAAATTTCGCCGCAGTATGTAGAAGCGTTTTGTCTTCTATGTTTAACATTTTTACGAACAGTGCAAACAAAATGGCACATTTTTTTCATATTAAAGTGCAAAACGAGCTTCTCTCACTATGAGTTTAACCGGGAGGCTATGGTTAAACCTCTCCCACTGTCAGATGCATGCTCTGACACGAGCACTGACGCGCGCGCGTGCGCGCGTACATCGGTCCATTCTTTCATTTACTGTACATACTGCTGAATTGCACAGAAATTACTACCTTCATATTTACATATGGTTGGCACATGCCACTGAAAACTGATGTGTCATTAAAGATAGCGGTCTTGTGCTTAAGCCTTAAGATGTCCTTAATGTGCTATACCACCACTGGTCACCAGATCCTTGTGATTCTAACTTTTATTTATCATTGTTAATCCTCCTTTGGTCAGGTATGGCTAAATTGAGTGCAGCTGAGAAGCAGCGACTTTACAGACAGCGTAGGGATGCTGATCCTGAACGTAGAGCAGAATACTTGCAGAAAAGGAAACGGAGTTATGTCAGAGACATTGAAACAAAAAAGAGAAAGAGAATAAGCAATTTAAGTGAAAGGGGGAAGAGAAGTGAACGTAAGGCATGAAGGGTCCGTCAGCAAAGATGCAGGCAAAGAGTCAGAGCAGGAGCATTGACCCCCCCATCATCACCAGATAGATCACCCAGCATTTCAAGGTACAAACTGAACTGTTACAAATACAGAAATCAACGGTTAAACTGTGAAACATAGTTATAAAAGTGCATAGCATACAATACCACCTCTCTCTCTCTCTCTCTCATACACTCACACACACACACTCTCTAACACAGTGTTTCCCAACCTTTTTTTTAGTCGCAGCACCCTTTGGAAATTTTAACAAACTTGTGGCACCCTACAAAATAAATTGTCACAATATTTGAATTTCTACCGGTAGAGGAAGGAGTTTGCCAGATGGTAAATGGCGCGGGCTTTTGGACATGGCACAGTCTGGACATCCTTGCACGAACCTTCTCACGTCCCTCGCCTTATTGGGCCACCAGAAGCGATCTCGTAGCAGCGAGAGGGCGTTGTTGACCCCTGGGTGGCCAGTGCCCCGAGAAGAGTGAGCGGAGTGAATCAGTGGAGTGCGTTGTGTTCGTGGTACATACTGGCATCCTGGAGGACAGCCTGGCGGATTGTTGGGAGCCGTGTTTGAGGCTACTGAGGGGGAATTCCATTCAATGGGACTGATGATCATCTTTGGTGGGATGATACTCTCCGGTTCTTCTGGACCTTCCACATGACTGTGATTACGTGACAATGCGTCTGCCTTGACGTTTCTAGGACCAGAGCGATAAGTAATGGTAAAGTTAAACCTGGTAAAGAATAATGCCCATCGTGCTTGGCGGGGATTCAGATGTTTGGCCTCACGTAGATACTGGAGATTCTTATGGTCGGTCAGTAAGGTGGTGATCTTGCTATAGTCTAGAATGAAGCGACGGTAAAAGTTGGCAAATCTGAGGAATCGTTGGAGCTCCTTAATTGTAGTGGGTTCTGGCCAGGAGGTTATAACTTCCACCTTCCCCTCGTCCATCTGGATACCGGTACGATCAATGTTATGAAGAAACTCCCGGAGCACCTCATGCATGAAATCCTGGAATACGAAGGGGGCGTTGGCAAGTCCATAGGGCATGACCAGATACTTGTAGTGGCCAGTAGGTGTCACAAAGGCAGTCTTCCATTCATCCCCCTCACGTATCCGGATGAGGTTGTAGGCACTGCAGAGGTCCAACTTTGTGAAGATGGTTGCACCTCGGAGATGTTCAAGGGCATTTGGGACTAGGGGAAGAGGATATCGGAACTTGACGGTGATATTATTTAGTGCTCGGTAATCTATACAGGGCCTCAAACCTCCGTCCTTCTTGGCCACGAAGAAGAAGCTCGATGCAGCAGGGGAATTAGATGGACGGATGTAACCTTGACCCAGCGCCTCCTTGATGTAGTCCTCCATGGCCTTCTGTTCAGGAAGCGACAGTGAATAGATTTTGCAGCGAGGCACTGGCTCACCCGGAATGAGATCTATGGCGCAGTCCCATGGCCGATGTGGTGGTAAGCGGGAGGCTTGTTTCGGGCAAAACACGTCGCTGAAGGGGGCATAGCAGGCTGGAATGTCTATGGATTGCTTCTCGATGGGACTTTCAACGGAGGTTGAATTCACGGGAAGGACCTCCCTGAGTTTCTTGGCTGGTGATGGAGTCACGGGGAAGCAGTCTGGGAAGCAATCCTTGCCCCACTTCAGGACTTCTCCCGTCTTCCAGGACAGAATGGAATTGTGCTTTACCAACCACGGGCGCCCTAAGATGATGTCAGCCGTAGACCCCTCCAGAACCAGAAGATGAATGTCTTCCGAATGAAGTTGACCAAGCCGAAGAGTGATGGGGCCCACTTTTAAATAGGCTACTCTTTTACTCTTACTCGAGTAGTTTTTTGGACAAGTACTTACTCACACTACATTTTTTGGAAGGTAATGGTACTTTTACTTGAGTATATTTCTTCAGTACTCTTTCCACCACTGTTAATAACCCATGTTATCAATTTCATATTTTTCTCATCAAACAGACTAATGAATAGCTCGACACAACTCGTACCGGGGCAGAGTCTAGACAGGTCTTTCTTCTGTGTAGACCAGCAGTTCTTAAAGTGATAGGGGGTCC